TTAGTGAAATACGCTATACTGCAGAGGTAAATGAAAAAAAGTTTTGGAAATAGGATCATAATTAATGATTAAAAAATCCTAGATAACTCATTCAGGACTTTTTAGAAAGATACTTTTTAGATTGTTATAGGAAAATTTAAATTTTTAATAAACTAAATTTGTGGACTGGGTTCAAATTACAATATTAGGTCATTTTGATAAATTAGTACTTTTTGATAAATTCTTTTAGTTAAATCTTTTTTCAGACCAAAATTAAAAAAGAAATTTATTAGATATACTTAAAAAAAAGAAAATTCAAAAATTTAAATTATTTGGGGGTCTGGTTTTTACTGCTCTATTGATAACAAGTTTAGTATTTAAAAACAAGTATTCTGTCAAATTTGGATTTAAATTAATGTTAGTATAATAAATTTATAAAGAAAGAGTTCTAATGATTTGAACTTGCAACATATGACAATAAAAAGTAAAAATAGTAAAAAATTTTTATAAATTTATAATTAATCCTAAATAAGGTTATCAAACATATCATCAAAATATCTCTTTGGTTTTGAAAACATTGCTTATGAGATCTGCATGTATGCTCATTTGAACCACAATCTCAGCATGAATTTAATTATTAATGGGCCCACGAAATTAAACTAATAATTTGGTTTAAAACATAATGATCCGATCTCTTAAAGACATCATCACACCAGTAAGTTGTTCTAGATGCAATGTCTTACGAGAGAGAAGTATTAAAAAGTTACTAATATCTTTTTTGTTTGCTTCTAGACCTTCCTCAAATAAATTGCCCAGGGCGTAACCATCATTTAGAATTTTTAACTCAGTTGAATGATGAGTGGGGTTAATTTGTAATGTTAAATGTAGCATTATTACTCTTAGATTTTGATGAACTCCTAAAATTAATTATACGCTTACAAAAAAACTATACAAAATATTATACTGATTTGAGAATGTAGTAGTAACATGCTATCTTTGTACATAGGAGAGAATAGATCTTTTATGGTAGAAATTAGTTCTTCAGAAATTAATTTATGGCTTTGTGACCCTGTCGTAGATGTCCCTCCCTTCTCACCAGAGTTACAACACATATCAAATCACAGTTCAGTGTTTTCTTTATTTTAGTAATAACCCTGTCTTTTGCATTAGGTGTTGGTTCATGAAGTGGTCCTGTTTTTTTAACTTAAAGTCTATAATTTATATGACACCGATAAAGTAGTTTTAAAAACCAGGTAGTTTTTTATATATGAATATACTTTTTTGATCAAATTTGGTCTGTAGTTTTTTAGTCAGTCCTTTTTGTGTGTCAATATCTCCAGTTTTAGTAGGAATGATACCATCCTTCTCAACTAGCTTTTTGTACAGCATCCAAGTTTTTGATGATGATCGATTAATCGGAAATCCTTCACTAACTCTCCTAATATCTGCCCATTAAGTATTTTTTGTTTTGCAAAGTATACTATCTCTTAGTCCGCTGAAGAGTTGTTTAAACTTTAAATCCTTCATTGTATCTTGAATATAAATTTTGACAATGATATAATTTTCGCCTAACAGACAACACATTCCTTGAGCACTTAACTCTTCTCTTGCGTTATCAGTAATTGGGAAAATAAGATTTAGCAAATCTTGATTAGTTTCTGTTTCTCTAATCAAAAATACAGGTAATAATCTCGATGGCATATTAGTTTTAAAGGAATAAGACCATATTGAAACATATTCGAATTGCTTTCAATCATTTCTTTTGATTTTATCGATACTTGTTGCCCTGCTCCATCACAACCATATTTAAAACATATCTGATACTCATCGCTGTCTACTGATATATGTTAACTCTATATAAGAGGTAACCCAATAGCTGGTTAACATGCAACTCTGGGCACTCATTAGTGATAAAGTTACTTATATAATTAAGAAGTTCCTGTGTCCTCTCCTTTTTCATCTTATCACCCAGTTCTGTAAAAGATTTTCTTTGTTTTGAGAAACACGGTCCTGTTATGTAAGCATCTTTTACTTCATAAATAATACCTTTTGATGCTTTTGAAAGTATAAATGCATATCCATTTTTCTTGAAATGTTTCTCTTTCAGGCATTTATAACGTTTCCATGTTTTTTCACACACATTTTCAAACTCCAGTGAATTAACTGATAGTTCAAAGTTTTTATAAAGTATTTCTTTAATGGCTGAATATGTTACTGGATTTGACAATTTATTAAAACTGACAGTTTTGCCAGCTTTAATAAATTGTGTGAATAAATCTATTGATTTATTCACACAATTTATTGATGATTCAAATTATTATTGATGATTCACATATTTTAAGAAAAAAATAATAGCCACAATTCAACTTTTTTAAATCACGTAAATAATAAAAAGTGCTAACTTGCCTCCCAGTTCCCCTTAAAATGTTTGAAAAGAAATGTTTAATATTTTAAAAATGTATGACACAGTAGAGGCAAATTAACACTTTTGAAAAAATCTAGGATTTAATCTGATTTTTTGTAAAAAGCAACAACAAATTTATAACATAATTAGATAATTAAGTTTTAAAAGCTTTTAAAAGAAAAATTAAAAAAAAAAAAAAAATTTAATATATTTATTCAAAAATATACTTCATATCTAATTAAAAACAACTTTCACAATAGTGGTTTATCAATTTTACTTAATTGTACTTAAATTTGTCAGAAGCTTTATAACATATTGACTGATAATATTATTGATTACATTAAAGCATCGAGTGATCTTTTTTTTTTTACAGTAAGTTACATCATCTTCTAAAATGCATAAATTTATTTTCATAATTAATTTAAGCAAATTTTTAGCTTATTTAATTGCCTTGATTTCTCCATCAAGGGACCATTTTTGTATTTTTTTCTTGTAATATGCTTTCAGACTTTCTTTTTTGAATACTCTTGGAACAAAAGCTTTATTGCATTTGAACTTTGTAGCTTGTTATGACTGAGACTGAGTCAGATTTTGATGAATTGAGTCGACTATTGATTTTGTCTTCTTTTTAGAAATAAATCTTGATTTTCCACCACTTCCTGATTTTCAACAATTGCAACAGTTGATTTCAGAACTTTACATGCTTTTGAAGTCATGGAATATGAGAACGATAGATTTTCTATGTAAAAATTCAATTTTATTTTATATTGATTTTCAGACTCTTTACTCAACATTGCAAAAACTAATGAAGAGTAAACAAAACTACACTTACACACAAGAAAACTAATTATGGAAGCATAAATACAATTAAGTGGTTATAAAAACAATTAAGTGGTTTTGAGAAAACTCAATTTAAAATCATCCAAATTTTAATTGATAATGGTGATACATACAAAGTTTGATTTTATCAATCTCAAACCTACGTATTAATGTGTATAGAATGTAATTTAGGTAGCATATTCATGAATGTGTTAGCTTACGCTGATGATATGGTTCTAATTGCGCCTTCTTGGTTTTCTCTTCAAAAACTAATTAGCTTCCTATGGGCATTTGTTTTTAATAGTTATGTTCTAAATGTCTTTTACATGTTTTTTAAACGTTCTTTGCGTGAGAACGTTTAGAAGATGTTTAAAAGACATTTAAAAGACATTTAGAACGTAACTTTAAAATGGGTTTACATATAAAGGAATCTTCTTTAATTAAGAAGTCCTTTAATACCAAGAAAACTGTATGTATGGTGTTTAATCCAACTCAAAAATCAAAAATTATATCAAATTCCTTCCTAGAATTATGCGTAACAGGCTGTAAAATTGCTTTTGTTGAATCTTTTATGAATATTCTTTCATGCTTTCATTTTTGCTTTCATTTATGCTGTATCAGAGTAAAGGCTAAATTGTTTGAATCATACTACATTTGTTTATATGGTGCTTCTCTGTGGCAAAATTATGATTATAAACAATGTCACGCCTTCAGTATTGCTACAACAAATGTGCTAAAATGTTTTTTGGTTACAAAAAGTATGATAGTATATCTCTCATGCTTTTACACAGATTATCTTTTTATACAACTATCATAAACTACAGATATGCTTTTCGTAATCAGTTGATGGCTTGTACCTTAGTGAATAATAATGACTTAATCAAGTTTTAAAATTGTATATTACTTTTAAAAACTATGGACCTGGCAATTAAATTGTATATGCCTGTTGTCTGAAATATATTTATAATAATAATAATAATAATAATAATAATAATAATAATAATAATAATAATAACAATAATAATAGCAATAATAATAGTAATAATAATAGCAATAATAATAATGGTAATAATAATATATATTTTTAGAATTGTTATGTTTGTTTTAAAACTGTTTACTTTAGATTAAAATATACTGACTGACATTACTTCATTATTTTAGCAAGTTTGTGCACTGTAGTTCTTTGTTTAATTAAAAATAATTGATGTTATTAAATTTTGTTTTATATTTTTAATAAACATCTAAGTTCATTTCATAACCAGTTTGTATTTATTTTTTTGTCATACTAATGAGTAACTTATATAAACAGCAACATATATAAACTCATAAAAAGATATGGATTTCAATTTAATCCCAAATCTAAATATATTATTTTTTTATTTTAAACATTGCTTTCTTGAAAATTTCAATAAAACTAGCTAAAAAAAATTTTTATTAATTTTTTTCAAATTAAAAAGTTTATATATAATATATATACTCTAAACTAATTCCATTTTATTTTGTTTTTAATATATTGTTTTACAAAAGACACTTTGAATTACTTTTTTAAAAAAGTAATTCAAAAGCAAGCAGAAGAAATGATTATATATAGATAAATTATCTATATATAATCATTTTTTCTGATTATCTTTAATGTAACTCATTATATTTCTTAGATAATATATGAAATTAAACTGCTATTAATAATTTATTTATTAATAACTCGTATTATGGGTTGCTTACTGTAATTAATTAATAATCTTATTTATATCACTAAAATTATTACCATGATATTCAAAACAAAAATTATTGTACTTACATGTGAATACCACAAACAATGCTCTAAACAAATAATCAAGCATATTAAGCCTTCTAGTTTTAAATTTTGACAGAAGATATGGAAGCATAATTTCCATAGGAACATAAAATTGGATGAAAAATGAAAGAAATGTTCCGACAGCATATATACATTTTACAGTATCATACAACCTGAAATAATAATAAAATAAAAAAAGAAGTTAAATGGCAGAAATATAGCACTATGGTTTCTGAGACCCGATATTTTGGCATAAATTAATAACATTTAAACAAAAAATAACTGATAATTTTTATTATTTAATATTTCTAATTAAACATGATATAACTAAATTTTATATGACTAAAATATAAAATTATATATAGTTATACATTATAAGTTGTTATATATAATATATAACTATGTATTACAACCTCCTACTTTTGGAAGTTTTTAAAAACATTAAAATGATTTTTGTAATTCTTTCTTTTTTTCAATAACAAAATCACATCTATATACAAATCATATCTATATGATATACACAAATCATATCTATATGATATATGGTGATGCATTCAAGAAATTGTATCCATGCATATAGTGGACTAAAGCCATACTGTAAAGTATTAGATTTGGTGTTGAATGTTTCTGTTATTTTAAATTCCTGAAATTAAAAAAAATTATTGAGAGTAACTCTACATATTGGACGAACCTGATTTAATTTTTTTCCATTTAATGTATTTAAAATATTACAATCAGTAAATGTCATTAATAAAGTTCTTTTGAACTATTATATTATTAAACAAAAAAATTGCTGAAGTCTCTAACTTATCTATTTATCCATCAATATCATGTTTTCTTTTAAAATGCGCTTCTTGGATTCATTTATATATTTAACCATTAATGATCTAAAAAACCACACAGATTAAGGATTGTGATTGTTCCATATTATACTCTCAGAGTTCAAACAGAGTGATATAAAAGTTTTCACAAATAAATTTGAATCAGGATTACTGTCATCAGGATTAAACTTTTGTTTATAGGCTAAATAACAGAAACTGCCATCAAAAGCTACAAGTAAATATTATCTCTGCACTAATTTTACTAGTATTAAGTGATTCCATTTAATGAAAACCACTTCTACTTTTAACTGTACAATACATCTGATTTAATCAACATTTAACAATTTATCAAAACGTCGAGAATTTTCTAATAAATGTTACTTGCTCAATGGTATATATTTTTTGATAATAGTTTTTTTTGGTACTATTTTAATATTGCTGTTTACTTAAATTGAAATCTAAGACTAAATTTGATGCTTCTTTGGCTGTATAAAGAATCATTTCTATTTTCTTAAAAAAAGTTTTTTTTTAAATTTACATGGCACAAGATGACCAGAGTTTTATACTTTCAAAAACAATGCAAAACTGCATTTTTTTTTTTGCTAGCATACAGTCATTCCTGCTGTCAGAGGCGGACTGGCCAGGTGGGACAGTGGGAAAAGTCCTACTCGGCCGATGTTCTAAAAATCGAGTTTAAAAAATTTGAGAAACCTGGCTAACGCAAAAAACTCAAAATCAAACAAAAATTAGTTTGTTTTAGCAGCACAATGACTTCAAATGTATTTCTGTATTACTGAGCTTTCTAAAGCCGCCGGCCTGAATCATTTCATATTGATACTGTGCATTTTAATTTATAAATATGAATTCTAAAAAACAAAAAGGAGGAGCGGCCAAAGAACGCGAAAAAAAAAAATCAAATTACAAATTGCTGCCCAATCATGTCATAACTTATTAAATTTGTTTAAGAAACCAATAAATCAGACTGCAATAAATTCTACTGCTATAATTCAAAAGAATCATCTGTATGAAAGTGATTTAACAAGTGACGTTGATATTACTTTAAATTCATCCATTATTATAAATCAGGTATACACAGCCACAGAGAATTTATTGGTAAGATTTTCAATATTATATTATTAAAAAAGGTATCTACATTATTATTTTGTACACCATTAATATACAATATTATAAGAATGTTATCGATTATACAAATTATGTATAAAAGTATTTGTTCAAATTTTAGTGTGATAATAATTCTACTGCAATAGTTCATAAGAATCATCTACATGAAGGTGATTTAACAAGAGATATTGATATTGATTTAAATTCATCCATTTCTATAAATCAGATATGTCCAGCCACAGAGAATGTATTGGTTAGGTTTTTAATATTAAATAACTAGTAACTGCTAATTATATTGGTCTTACAAACAAATTAAACGCATTTTATTGCTAAAAGTAGGTTTTTATTATTAATTTAGGTTTTTAGGTTTTTATTATTAATTTAATTTGAACTTATATTTTAGGAAGCTGAATCTCTAGAGTATCATTTGCCATCTAATGATGAATTATTCAAACTAAACAAAAATCCTGATATCCTCCAAAAATTAAACTTCATCAAAAAACATCCTATCCAGCCATCATTCTTCAGCAATATCCAACTAGATTTAAAAATGCTCTATTTTAGAAAAACATCAGATGGCAAAAAAATTTCACGAAAGTGGTTATCAGTCCTCTGTATTGATAATGAACTCAAAGCTTTATACTGTCCGTTTTGTATTGCATTCAGTTCATCTCCTACTACATTTTTTAATGGCTGTAATAATTTTAAACATATAGTTGTTTATATAAACATGAAGTTGTTAAAATACATGAAGAATCGTTAACACACAGGCATTCAGTAGAAGCCTATATTCAATCGTCAAATGATAAGTCTGTTGAATTTGGTATTAATAACAATTTAATGGCATTAAAAAAAAGTCAAATACAAGATAATATCCATGTTATAAGTGAAGTTTTTGAAATAGTTAAATTTCTTGGTCGTCAAAATTTACCATTTAGAGGTCCTAGAAACTCTGAAAGTCTGTATAAGTGGAACGATGAAGACAATTTAAACAAAGGCAATTTTTTGGAGTTGGTTAAATTTACAGCCAAACGGGATGCTACATTATACAAACATTTGAATGCGGCTATAAAAAACAGCAAACGCAGAAAAGACAATTTGGAAAAAAAATCATTAATTTCTTGTGGCAGGGGTTCACTTGTAACTTTATTGTCTAAAACTACTGTGAATAAAGTTATTTTATCTATCGTGAAATCGATAAGAGATAGAATTAAATTAGAATTAGGTGAACAAAATTTTAGTTTACAGATTGATAGTACACAAGATGTTGGTGTTGTAGATCAGGCAGCAGTATGCATCCGGTACATTTATGAAGGAGAAGTAAAAGAAAGGTTATTTGCTTTATTAAAAGTTGTCGATTCATCAGGAAATGGCTACTATGATATGTTAAAAAAACTTTTTTCTGAACATTCCATTAATTTTAATCATATTATTGGTGAATCATTTGATGGAGCAGCTAATATGAGAGGGGAGTATTCAGGACTACAATCTAAAATTAAAAGTCAAGAAAATCAAAAAAGTGTTTATATATGGTGCTATAGCCATGTGCTTAACTTATGTGTATGTGGTACTTGTAAAGGCGTAGAAGCTAAAAAACTGTTTGGATTTTTGAATCGATTATCAACATTTTTTAGTGATTCTTATAAACATATGCACATATGGTTAAGTGAAATTGATTAAAGTTTGGGGTCTAATAAATTGAAAAAACTTCGAAAAATAGGAGAAAACAATACGCGATGGTGGTCGCGAGAAAAAGCACTGTTTTGGATTTTTGATGGTGATAAATGTCTTTTTCCTACAGTTGTAAGTGCTTTGCATCATATTTCTATTTCTAGAAATTTTGAACCTAAAGTTTGTTCAGAAGCATCTTCTTTATTAGATAATTTATGTAATTTTAAAATAATTCTCACAGCTCATATATTTTTGAATATCTTTAAAATTATTGGGCCAACGTCACGTTACCTTCAGACAAGAGGTATGGATTTATTATCAGCTTGGAGTATGGTAGATTCTGTTAAACAAAAAATTGGACATTTAACCTTTGACAATATTTTAGAAAATTCTGTACATTTTTCCAACAATATGAATGACTTACTTAATAGTATGAATCTTCCGGATGATTTATTAGTACCAAGTACTTTACCTATTACTAGGCAAAGCAGAAAAAAAAGAATGTATGATGAGCTATGTGCAGACGAAACACCAGAGTTACCATTAGACAAGTTCAGAGTTGAAACTTATCAATCAATAGTTGATCACATTAATAATAGTTTAAATGAACGCTTCACCGACAACAATCAATTGATAGCGGATGTTCAATACTTGATACCCAAAAATTTTAAACAAATTGAACAAACGCCAAACACAGCTTTAAAACACTTGGCCAATTTAGCAAATTTAGATCACATACAACTTTGCTTAGAACTAAATAATTTTTCTAAAATGTATCCCAAGTTAAAAATGTCTACAACAGAAAGAACTAAACAAATATATCGTCAATTTGATACTGATTCAGATGAAAACACAGATAATGATGAAGAAAATATGAATTATGATGCAGCATTTTCTTGTGAGTAAAATTGTGCTTATATACTGTTCTATATATAATTTAAAATATTGTTTTGACTGAACTTTATGTTGGATTTTAGGTAACAACAAAAACAGCATACATGATACTAACAATTGTTTACAATGTGTATACAAACTTGTATACAATTTAAACATGCATGTCTCAGCTTATACTCAACTATGTGCTTCATATGAGTTTTTTCTTACTTTGTCAGTCACCGAAGTCAACTGCGAAAGGACATTCAGCAAACTTAAGCTTGTTAAAACAAGACTAAGAGCCAATATAAGTCAAGATAATTTAGAAGCACTCTTAATTATGAGTGTTGAAAAACAATTACTCAATGAAATTGAAATTTCAAATGTCATTGAATATTTAAAAGCTAGTTCTACAGTAATGACTAAAATGTTTTCAATATAAAATTGTCATTTAAGTTTTGTTTTATATAAATTAAGTATTTTCTTAACTATAATAAATAATAATGCATTAATTTGTATGGATTATGATTCTTCTTCTTCATTCTCTGGCATGACTACTCTCTAAGAGATTTTGCTGACATTACTAAACTGTGCCAACCATCTCTATCTATGAATTACATTATATGAAAAAAATTGTTTTGATTCTAATTGTTGATTATCATGTTTTTTAATGTTAAAACTAGACCCATAGTATCAGTATGTAACATAACACATACCAGAGTACGTATTTAACCTAATTAAATTAAATTGTACATGCTATTTATAGGTACCTTATAACAATGAATTATATTTATTTATGATTTTTTTTTTTGGGGGGGGTGTTTATTTTTTGGGGGGCTAATCACCCTTCAGGCCACCTCTATTTGGGCCGGTGACCGTGATTTCCTACTGGGCCGAACACCCCTCAGTACGCCTCTGCCTGCTGTTGTAATAATAGAGATGTTTTGAGCGAGTTGTCCTAATAAAATTGATGCTTCTAATCTTTTTGCTAGTTTAGTTTACTTAGTATATGATAGACTTAATCATCCAGAAGGTCTTGATGGAATCAACTGACTAGAAGATGTTAATAAAATCACACCATTAAATAATATCACTTCTCCCCTGTTGTTTTTTTACTTTTTGTCTATTTTGTTCAAAAAACTGCACAAACAACAAATTTTCTAAATGTTAATCAGTACTTTTACTTGATCATTTTTCAAATCATTGGAACTTGATCATATACATTTGAGTTTTTCTTATTTTTTCATCAAACATTAAATAAATCCACATGTTTAAAACATTACTGAAATGTATATATATATATATATATATATATATATATATATATATATATATATATATATATATATATATATATATATATACATATATATATATATATATATATATATATATATATATATATATATATATATATATATATATATATATATATATATATATATATATATATATATATATATATATATATATCAACCCTCAGAATTAGGAAAAATGAGGTCGGCAATAATTTGCCGATCTCAAACACTTTCAGGTCGGCAGAAAATTGGAAAATGTTATGAAGCATCAACTAAATTTAATCCTGCAAAAAAATTTTTTAAGAAAACAGACTTTTTTTAAAGTCATCAAAAAAACCAAATATTTGTATAGAAATAATTTACTTAACAGCAAAAAATATTTATTTTAAAAAAGTAATTATTATTAATTTAACTGGTCACTATACGCTTATTGGGCTGAAATAAAAAATATTTTCATTAAAACTAATTCATATTTCAACTATTTCAATATTTTCAAATATTTAAGTTTATAATGTAAACAAACTAAGCTATTAATTTTAAAATAGATTACATTTATTTGCACTTTAAAAGGTTTACTTCAAGATCCCAGATAATAAACTAAACTTATACTTAGCAAAAATGACTTTTTGCCAAAAAATTTGGTAACAAAAATCATAGTAAGCTGTTTTGTAAGAGTTTATAGCAATCAGAATGCTTGGAGAACAAAACTTTTTAAAAAAAGTCCCTAAATAAATTTCCATTCATAATAAACTGTTTTATATCAACCTATTGATAAAGTTGGTTTAAAAAAGTAGAATTAAAAATGATGCCCACTAACAAGATCTAAAAATAAGCTAAGTACAAAATGTAAAAAATTCAAAATGAAAAGCAGTTTAAACTAAAAATGTTGTAGGACATTTCCAGTTTAATATAAAAGTCCATTAACAAATTAATAAATTCATATACTAAGATAACCAAAGTTACCAATTATCTGGTAAATTTAAAGTAACACTTCCAGAAATTTTATCGCCATAAGCAATATATCCAAACATTCCAACCATGACATAAAAGGCTGTGACTAAAGTCATACTGAAGTTGATAACCCAAGGAAAGTCTTCAGGTTTGCTTACCTCATTATAAAGAGGAAGCACCTAGTTCAATAAAAAAATTTAGGCATTTAAAAATTGAACAAATTAAATTTTTATATCTAAAATCAAGTAGCAAAATATGACTTACAACTGTAATTCCTTCAAAAGCATAAATAGTAATGCTAAAAAAAATACCCAGACGATTCCATCCAGCAAACATTGGATAAATTGCAGGATTCTTCAAATTTCTTCCAAGAAACTGAAGAATCATAATAAGTCCAGTAACAGAAAGCACATTAGCAAATGTAGAAATATACGCAATTTTTTCTAAACTGCGAATAAGTGAGAATAGAATTGTTATCGGAACCAAACATAAAATAATAAGTCTGGTATCTAAACTTATTACAATAGCAGTTATTTCAACAATGGTTTTAGCAATAAAAACAATGTAAACCGAGCATATTCCTAACTGATTGATTGTCAAAAAAGCATTGACCAATTTTCTATAAATATAAATCATTTTAAAATATTAAACTATTTATGAACAAAAATAAACAAAAATTAAAAAAAAATTACTTAAAAAAATTGTTAAAATAGCTACTGCCATTTATGATTCATATTGAGTTGAGTCACCAATAAAAAATGAAAAGAAAAAAAATGGCAACTTGACTAATTCTCCCTCTTAATCTATTTTATTTATTTTTTTTAATCCAAAGAAAAGCGCAGCCTTTGGGTTAACTAAAAAAATAATCTATTTTATTTTTATTTCTGATATAAACCTATTCAATTGGGTTGGTACTCGTTGGTAATTCAGATGCATTTTATATTAAAATAAAAAAAATAAAAAAAATAAAAAGTTGATAAAAAAATTTAAAGATAATATTTATTAGAATACTATATTTATTAGCTTTGCCCTGGCCATGTACATATTCCTTTTTGATATAATGAACAACATAAATTTTTATCAAAAGCAAAATATGTACTATACTATGAAAAAAGAAAAAAAAAAAGCACAGAAATTTCTACACTGTTTACAATACTAAAGAATAACCAGAGTTGCATAAAGCAGTAGATAGGTGTAGAATTATTAACCAAGATGTATATAAACAGCAAATGCAGTATTAAAAGATTTAAATTTTCAAATAAAAAACTTCAATTGATCCCACAAGTTGTTTTTTTTTTGCTAGAGACATAAATAATAAGAAAAGAAATAGATATACATGCTGATAAAGTTAAAGAAATATTCTACAAAAAACAACTTGATAAACATAAATAATAATAAAAATTTGTAACTTTATTTGAAGAAATCAAGCCTTATTTGTCTCCAGCTGATAACAACTGTGTCATGCCCTTAAGTAGCAAAGCAAAAAAGCTAATCAATGCAATGCCCTTAAGTAATCAATCAATGCCCTTAAGCAATCAAGCAATGCCCTTAAGTAGCAAAGCAAAAAAGCTAATACTTGTAAGCTATAGTAACAACTTTAACTTCCAAACATCAGCATTTTTATATATTTATATCAGAGGGTTAGCCAGGAATAAATTTAATGCAGCGTTTTTACAAAATTGAAAATTTTTATTAATTTAGTTTTTCTAAATCTCATTTCCACTCCATATTTTTAAATGTGTCTCTAAAGGCCTGTTCTTATCTCTACTTTACTTCATTTTAGCGCCACACACCATGATTAGATTGAGCCAAAAATTACAAAAAAAAATAACTTTTCAGTAACATTTCAGTAAGGAAATTGTTACTGAGAAGTTATTTTTTTTTTGTAACTTTAACAGGAAAATAACCTCAGTTTTCTAATGATATATTGGCAATTATATATTTATATAATTTTAATTATAAAATTAAATTTTCCATAATTAAACTAATAAAAACTAGAAACTAATTTTTATTAATTTTAATAAATTATAAATTTTTATATATTTGATAATTCTTATTTTTAAAGTATTATTGCAATTTTTATAATAAGTGTATTTTAAATTGAATTTATTTCATATACACTTATGGGCATCCATAAAAAATGGATTTTTATTTTAAACTGGCAAACCAATCTTTTTTGACTTTTATTTCTTAAGAATAAGTATTTGTTTGCTATTTTTTTTATCTATTTATAAACATGACAAAATGCAATAATACTCTTAATATAACCTCTCAATGTAATTGGTATCATTAAAAAGGCCTTTGAGTGTACTTTGAGACAGCTGTTTGTGTAGTTGAATTTTTACTTGTTTTAATTTTGAAAACAGCCTTTCTACACAAGCAATGCTTATCTGGAAAATTATTTAAAAATTCAATAAAAATGTAAAGCTAGTATATAAATCCTGGTTAAAATCTTCTTAAACCAGTCCATAAGTTTTGAGCGCAAAATGACTATCATTTTTTTCTGAATTTTTGTCACTGCTGTTTAGTAGAAGCATTGAGTATTTGAAAATCAAACATGCTTTCCATTCCTTTTAAAATAACTTTAAACAAGTTTTTAGCATACAAGTTAGTCCCAACAAATTCACTTTTATAGATTTTTACTTGGGCCTCTATAATAGGACTATGCAACTCTTTTTTTTGTTTCCCAATGAGGGTACAGCTCTAAAAGACAGTTTAATGGTTCTGAGGCTGCCTCGTAGAAAAGTTTTCTAAACTCTGGGTAGCTCTCAGAAAGGCTGATTCCATCAACAGCAGTAAAATATCAAAGTATTAACAGTGCCGGGTTGTGCATAGATCATGTCCCTGTTAGTGCTTTCGATGTGCATTGTCAAGATTAAGAGCCCTGGGATACAAGTTTGGTTTAATTAGCTGAACTGAGGCAATTGCAGAACTCATTTGGGATGCCATGCTCTATCGATGAATGAGACAAGTTTGCTTTAACTTAATCCATGCCTAAAGTAACCAATAATATTAAACATTAAAAAAAATTACCACCACTTACTGTTTCAATATATCTTTCAGAAATTTTTATGGTTTTCAAAGTAACTTTTAATTAATTCAATCTAACTTTGTAAAATTCACTTGACTTGCTCTTTGTGAGGCTACTTTAAATTTGGCTTTTCTTTCTTCAGATCTCAGTAATAATGGCTCTATCCTTTGATTCACAATGGCTTCAATAATCACAAGCTTGGCTTAGGCATATTTTACGCATTGATCCACATATTCGTCAAAATATCAAATTTGAATCCTCTGACCATTCTTTTGTGCCTCAGCTCAATACCTTTTCACTTTAACACCTTTCCCTTTGTTCTTTGTTGTCCTCCTACTTCACAAGATTTTGACTTATTTATCGCCAATAAAAACAATATTGTTCAATATTTTTGTTATTTGGCAACTTTAATGCTCATCACACTGAATGCCACCACTGATTCTGCTGTCACTAAAGCCTATAACTTCTGTATTTTTAAATTTCTTACTCAGATAATTAACTGATTAGTTTCCCAGATAACTCTTACTCATTAGATTTACTCCAAACTATTGTGGAATTAAAGTAAATCCACACTTGTGCAAAATAAGTGTGTAGGCTTTACTAAATTAGTGTTTACTCCTACATGTAGGCTTTACTCCTACACACTAATGTGTAGGAGTGAAGTCTACACACGGATGTGGAGTGTGGAGAAAAACTCCACACTTTCCACTAGAGTGTAGCAGGGCCATTTTAAGGGTTATACGACCAGATTAAGGGTTTATCTGGAAAATATTTAATTAAATCAATAAATTACTTAATCTTTAAATAAAGATGTTAATTTGTGTCTTGTCTCTGACTCTGTGTTCAGTTTCTGCTTGTTCACCTTTAGCCTTTTAGGCTCTATAAATCTTTCTACTCACACTATTTAACATCATTACACTATTTACTATTACTCTTAAGATGACTAGAAACCTTTTTGTAATTTTCTTAGAGATGGTCTATGGGCTGATATCTTTTCACTCTCTGCTGATAAACGTGCCTCCTACGTAATCTCCTGAAACCAGGCAAGTTTGGAAGCTTTTATTCTTTCTTGTCAATTCCAAGTCGAGCCTCATTCTACTTGATGGTTTTTAGCTTCTTTTAGCTACTATAATTAATTGTTATTATTTTTTAAAATTTATTTAAAAAGAACAACTCTGTTGAGAACACAATCCTATTTATTATTGCAAGAAATCAATCTAAGAAGGTGTTGTTTGATGCTAAACTTCATTATTTCTAGTTACTTCCAGTTTACTCGCTATTGTTTTACTTCTGATTCCATTCTCTAATTCAACAAATCTTTTATTTGTATAAAATAATGTTGTTATATTTGAGCTGGTTCTTCTAATAATGCTCTTTCTCTTTTAGACAAGGTTCAAAAAAGCATTGTAAACTTTGTTACCTCTTTATCTGCCAAGCTTGAGTCTCTCTCCCATCGTTATAAAGTTATATCTCTTTCTCTTATATACAAGTATCATCATACTTGCTGCTCAAAGAATCTATCATATTTAGTTTCATCAACCAAATGGTACATGATCATGATTTAAGCTTCATCCTTTTTTGATTATGATTTAAGCTTCATCCTTTTTTGATTATGATAATGAGAAGTATTAGGTTTTCTAATGGTATTTCAAGATTAAAATAAATACTAGGTTTTCTTGTATTTATTTATCATTTAGGTAGTACAAGGTTTTCTATTTCAAGATTAAAATAAATCAAAACACCTGAGCAGTTTAAACTACAAATTGATATAATTAATAACATCAAAAAATTACCAATTTAATTGAATAAAATTTTTTTAAAGAATTTTATTTAAAATACTTGTGAAACCTTCGTACAAATCATTAACAGATATATGACCAAGAAACACTGATGAAAAGTCATATGGTTTCAAATAACATCCCAATAACAAATGCAAATATTCATTTAAACATTTTCAACAACATCATTCAAAGATTTATCAAAACAAAACTATGTGTGCGGAGCCTTTAAAACTAGATCATGAAAATATGGGGCAAGACCATGTGTGATGTTATTTTGGAACATGATCTATAAGAAAAAAGCTGCTGTGTAACATATAGTGCCCAAAGTATTTCAGGACGTGTTACATCATTTTAAGCCATAAATAAAGAGAAAGATGGATAATACAGTTGTGCTGGAAGAAATTGTGGAAATAATTGGCATTAATTGAGAAAATCTAGGCAAACAGAAAGGTAAAGGCAATAAATCAGAAAATGCTAAAGTTAATGTCAATGAAGGAAATGTTTGTGATACAGTCTTTTTATTCAATATATTAATAATAAAGTAATCAAATACATTTGGTTGACTTTTTAAAGATATACTTTTTATATGACTTTTAACTACCATTATACCTACCTATTTATAACTACCATTATATATATATATATATATATATATATATATATATATATATATATATATATATATATATATATATATATATATATATATATATATATATATATATATATATATATATATATATGTGTGTGTGTGTGTGTATATGTATATATACTATGACTTAAAGAAAATGTCTCTTCACATACACTAGGTTTTAATATCAGCTCTCTAAAGCCATGTTGAATTATTTTTTATCAAATCATTATATTACATTTCTATTCCCTAATTTCTTTAATTTAAAATTAGCTGATCACCGCGTATAATTAGAGTATTTAAAGTAAATTAAGAAAAAAAAGATTTAAAAAAGGTCATATAAATTAAACAGGCTTACTTTAATACAGTGGATTTATCACCAAGATATGGTTTGCTTGCAAACTCTGCCACTTCGCCATAAGAAAGATGCTGACAATGATATCTGAAATTAAGTTTAAGAAAAATGATAACATTGAATCCTTACTACTACGCCCAAAAAAAAAGTTATTTTTCATCTTTTGTTTCTATATCCAATTGTTCAACCATGAGTATAAATATTTTTACAAAGACTTTGTTCTTTTTATGTAGCTTTAAATCTGCTGATGCTTTGTCAGAAGATTTAAAAAAATTATTTTCTTGAGGTAGAATCTTAAGAGTCCTACTGTATGTTTTTTTTTTTTTTTTAATAAACAGCACACAATAATTAAAAGTTTTTAAATCAATGGTTTCTTTTGATCTGAATCTATTTGGTGTCTGAAGTAGATTCTTATTATTAGTAGTAGTTCTTTTTATTAGTCCAACGTCAATAAAGACTAATTGGTCGAAGTTTAAGTTTCAAAGTTCTTACTTTCTATAGCATATTTTTTAAATCCATTTCAATAGAGAATTTAAGTATCTTCATTACACCTTATCACAATCTTTCATTAAGAAAATAGATCAAGTGTAATGAGGAAACTCAAGTAATTAACTACTTTTTTAACTGCATATTAATGGTTTTTTTGTTATAAAATTTGTTGTGCATTTAATATTGAAAATATATATATTTTTTTTTCATTAAGCTAATCAATAATCTTTTTTTTATTCATATCTATTGACTCTCTAAAAAGTCTGTTATCTTAATTTCTGGTACTTGTGTACCTAATCTTAATTTCTTAATTTCTTAATATGTATCTTAATTTCTGGTACTTGTGTACCTAAGTTAATTAACTATAGATAAATAACAAATATGAATTTTATCACTGTGAATATTAAAATAATCAATCTGTGATATATGTATATAAATACATACATATATATATATATATATATACGCTTTTTATTTTTTTAAGCTTTTTTTGTTTCTTTATTAAGCCTTCATCTTCATCTTAAATTCAGAATTTATTTTAAATTCTGAATTTAAGTACATAAAACATTTGTTCTTTTTTGCAAGTGTTTTTCTGATATGAGAGATTTCTACCTGCCTACCTACTATAAACCTTAATAGTTGTAACCTGCTACTTTAACCTTAATAGTTTTATCATAAGTTATTGTAACTTTTGTGGTACAATTAAATCACTAATTGAAATATATTTTTTAGACATTTTTCCTTATACTTAATTTTTTTTTCATTGTTGTTAATGTATTATTAAAGTATATGTTGAATGTATTTTCTTTTTACATTCTCTTATAACTTAACTTTTGTTTGCTTGGTCTTTATAACTTAAATAACTCAAATCAACATTTTTTATTTAACAGAATGTTTTGTAATTTCACCTCAATTTCTCACCAAGACTGTTGGTAACATTCTACATTTATAGCTAGCTTGTTAAAATTCAATTTTTGTGCATGACAAATAATTAACTACTTCCCTCAAACATTTTCATTATCTCCAGTACATTTGAATTTGCAAATATATTTTAAATGTTTTGATTCATAAGTATTTTTGCAAAGATTTCTCATTCACAATTATCTCAAAATATTTTAATTATTTTAAAGGGTTTTTCAAATGTGTGAAATACAAAAAAAGTTTCCAATGGATTTTTTAAAGTTGTTGCGAATGATTCCATGAATTTGCGTGAAAAGGTAGATTTTGAAGAATTTTGAGGACAGTATAATACATAAAATGATCAAAACCTGCATATTAAAAGTTATTTATTATAAAATAAAGTTTCAATGACTATATAGATTTGAATCTATTAATTAAATTTATAAAGAAAAATATTTAGTTTATAAAACAATTAAGTGATGCATCTAATAACTATTATTTTGTCAAAGCATTTACTGCAATAAAATAATTACTTTAAAATAATCTTGTAAAATAACATTGTAATTTTGTAATTATTTTATGTGAGTTCTGATGGTTTTTAAATAAAATAAAATGTCAGGTATAAGGGGTGTTTTTTAAAACTTTTTCCATTCCACATGTCATTTCATTTAACAAGAGATATTTTACTTCTTTTTTTTTTTTCTCAGAGCTTGCAGTTTGTTAGGAATAAAGTCAATATACTTGCATAGAATCTAACACGTAACTGAAAGTTAGAAAATTTGTGTCAATTTTTTTGTTCTAGAAGTTTAATTACGCATTTAGAGATTTAGAGATTAGAGGTTTTGAGATCAATTTTTTTTTGCATCATGTGGTTTAGATTTTAAAAAAAGGTCAATAATGTAATTATCTGAGACAGTAAATTTTTTTTTAGTAAATTTAAACTGCTTTTATCTTTGGTGCATTCTTTGATATAAGCAGTTTGTTGACAAAAATTTTGACAAAACCACATGTTATATCTATTATAAACTTTAGACTGCCTTGTTTAGCAAACATTACAAACAAGCTATAAATTAATGATTAAAGTTATTATCTAAATCACATTATTCTTATTACTGGAAACTGAATCACATTACTTTTAGTACAATAAACTAAATCACATTAATTTTAGTACAAGAAACTATGTAACATGACATATGACAATAGTTTCTTGTACTAAGAATAATGTGCACATTATTCTTTGTACAAAAAACTAAATCACATTTTTCTCAGTAGAAATACTAAATTACATTATTCTTTATTACTTTCACTTCATAGTATAATACAAACCATCTTAAGATGGTATACCATTTAGTAAAATTTTTTACATTTATTAAAGCTTCATTTGATGAAACTGCCAGTAAGATCTTACTGTAAGATATATACAATACAGTAAGATCTTACTGCTATATATGCAAAGACCTCAGATAAACTCTCTTTTTAATATTATTAAAAATAGTACATATTTTTTATTTTATATTTATGTTTGAACTTAGTGCAGCAGAGACACATTTTTAGTCTTTTTAATACTACTCTGCCAGAGTAGTATTAAAAAGACTAAAAATGTGCGCAATTCGATGAAACAGGGTTGGCATTGAAGGATCCGCACAATAAAACCCGAACAATCTAGGTTTTATTAAAAATATTTTATAGTTTTGTGAACCAAAATTAACTACTGTTAGGCACTTCAACATTTTTTTTTTAATGTAAAATGAAAACAAAACAAACTCCGTAAGTTAGAGCTAAACATGATCAGTTAAAAAATAAAAAACTTATTGTTATATTATTATTAGTTGAAAACTTATTGAACTTTTAAACCACAAAATTTAAGATTTTTTTTGTATGACTTTTGAGGTTTTTAGCGACTTAACGTTTTTAAGAATCGCGACAACGTTTCCAAAGTAATAATAAACAAGACCGTTACTATTCAAAACTAAGAATATAATACCAATAAAAACTATAGTAAATGGACTTTTAATGAATAGGAAACAACCCACATTTGACATAATAAATCTGTGACAGTACTTTTTTAAAAAAAATTTATTTAATGGTAATGCAAAATAGGTTTTCCAAAATAATAAACTGGTTTTAAAATCTTAATTTCCGTCTTGAAAATTGATGAGTTGAGTCTTGAAAATTGACCAGTGCTAAAAAAAAAATTTTTTTAAGTTTACTTTTTGGTGGGAGGCATATTTTTTGTGTGATCTACGCTTACCATTTAAAAACATGCACATTATTAGCTTAATATAATGCTATAGTTGATTTTTTTATTAAATCAAAAAAACACTAAATACCTTCAAAAATATTTGGGTTATAAAATGACCTTAGTTTTTGATTCAAATTATCTCTAAAAGCGAAAACCTTAATAAAATATTTTTGGTACTGTTGATAAGCAGTGGTTCTACTTTTTGGAATAAACAAATAAAAAGTTTTTGTATTTTAAGTCATCGGATGCACGATTGAAGAACATACAACTCAAACTTTTTTGTCGGCATAAAACCTCAGATCTTTTTTCTTTAGCCGTGTTTTATCGATTATCGATATTACACGCTCAGATGTTGAAGTGCCTACTACTGTAACTTAAACCGAAACCAAAATTTCAGTATCGGTTCAAATCATGGCCTACTTTATAGAAGGCCTCGACACCGTGCGGGAATTTTTTTGACTGAAGGCCGATTTAAAAATAAAATGGCGGTTTATTAAAAGAGAAAAATGCTGTACAGCTTTGCTAACACTAATTATTTAATAACTAATTATTCTATTTGAAAAAATTTTGGATGCATTTTTATAAAATGAGTATCTTGACGTTAATTTGACAACTATTTTATAAGCTTAAATAGTTTGTAAAGTTGATTAGAAACATTTTAAATCAATTTTTTGAATATACAAGAAATAATAAATAATCAGAAAAATACATTAATAACAAATCTATTTTTTTTTGTACTAAATCTTCCCAAAAAAAAATTACATAAGCTTGATTTCTTTTAGTTTTGCTTCTTTATTACTTTTGGGAGTGTGAAGTAATGCAGTTCTTTAAAAAAATGTTTGCTAGTGTTTGGGATTGTTTCTTTGCAATAAAAAAACTATACAACTCTGCAATAAAAGCAAACTGTCGTATCAGAAATGTTCTGCAAACTTTTTTATCTAATAAAGAAAATAATATGTAACAAAATAAAGACCACTGAGATAGAGTATCAGATGGAATAGTTAATCCTCCCCTATTTAAAGTGTTCAAATAAGTTCCATATTTTTAATAATATTTATATAATATATGTATACATATATATATGTGTATTTATATATATATGTATAATAATATATAATATATATATATGTATAATAATTTTTTTATTTATTTATATATTTTTTTTTTTTTTTTTTTTTTATTTATTTATATACAATATTTATATATATATGTATAATAATATAATAATATATATATGTATAATATTTATATAATATATGTATACATAATAATATGTAGTTGTGTCTTCACCAATTTCTTCAGTAGAACACTTTTGAACATAACCAGCAATATAGACAATAGCATAAAAAATTTCTATATTTATACTATCTTCTAGATCTGGTAAATTGTAAATTATATCAATTTCGATTTCATCTAAATCTTTAAGACATAAAAGACAGTCATGGCCATCATTTCCTTCTACTTCAATATTCAGCTGTAGCACCAGCTTAGCATGTTGAATACGTACTTTTTCGATAACTGATTTAGCAGTTATAAAGTAAGTACCACCAGAACCTTGCCGTAGTTTTCCGAAACATTTTTCAATTGGATCACAAGAAAACCAGCCTAAAATAACATACTCATTTCCACTTGATAAAAGATGACAAGACAAATCAATTAGTCCACAACAAGTGTGTGAAAGTGCATTGCTTGTACCTCTCGTAAGCTGGCGAATTCGTTTACCAGATGTTGGTTTCATATATTCTGCCATTGTTGCAATAGCAAGTAACTTTTTTAAGTTAATGAAGATCTGATTACATTACGTGACTCATCCCTAAATCTAGCATTGGCACCTGGGCATTTAACATTTACTTATTTCCAAAATTCTATAATCAACTCCGAAAAAATAATAGTACCTTTGACACTTTCTTGGTCTATTTTAGGATGAGTTTTTAGAGCTGCAAAGAGCTTGTAAACTAACTTTTTGCCATTCTATTTATTTAGGATTTATTGATGTTTCAGTCAATCTGGATAACTTTATTAATTGGTTTTTTTCAAGTGTATATAAATTAACTAAATCTCTCCAATTTGCAATGTAAGTTATAACACAGAACTTAAAAACGTTAAATCATCTTGAGAGTTTATTTTTGAAGTTATGTGTGTCAAAGTTCGAATACTTGGCAACTGATAATCATAACATAATCGATAGTAAGTGGAACGACTTGTTGCAAAATATTCAAAAGCTCTGGTTATTATATCTGGAGAATACACAGCACAGCCAATAGTATGATCTCCCATTACATTTAAATGCTCAAACATTACTTGAGTTTTATGATCCTTATCTTCAACTTTCAGATATCTAAGGGCTTCATTTAAAGATGACTTAGTACAAATGGAAGTGATTCTGTTATTTGCCAGAGATTTAATAGTACATTTTGAACCAAAATGAAATGCTTCGAACAACAAACTTTGATTAATTATTAGCAAAAATAGTGGAACACCACAATTAAATATTTTAGATTGGATGAAAATTTTGCTCGTATAAAATCAAATCATTATAAGTTGATAAATGTTTTTCAATTTCTTCAAAATTTAAATTATCAATTATTTTATATTTTTCTAATTCATCTTTTCTGATACCTCTTTTTGAAGAAGAAGATAAAGTCTTTCTCGTTTTAGGTGGTGGAGAGGATAGACAACTTTTAAATATATTTGGAAACACTGATGGAGGATGAATCGGTCTCAATTTACCAGGACATAATTTAAACTCTGCATTATCTGGCCAATGCAATTTACAAACAACGGTGTATTTTGTTACGGTCCAATTTAAATGAGGGATGCTCATAAACCATTTAGTTTTTTCACATACTTCACGAGGGAATTTATACACAGATACATTACAAGCTGAAGACTTATAATTTGAGGAACAGTTTGGAACACAACATTTTAAAGGCGTTCTATATAATTTAAATTAAATTTACTTGAAGAATAGCTGTAAATTTTTCTGAAAAAACGTAACTAATATTTTAACTCCTTTTCCAACCAAAAAATGCGTTTGTAACAGTTTTAAATCGGCCTTCAGTCAAAAAAATTCCCGCACGGTGTCGAGGCCTTCTATAAAGTAGGCCATGGTTCAAATTGAAACTTCGGCCGAAACTAATACCGAAACAGGTTTCGGTCGATCACTAATAACAGCTATAGATATCACTTTTTTATCCTTTATGTTATTCACCTCCCAACACTGAGAAGGCCACTGCAGTCTAGGAGACTACCTCATTGTGGTTACAAATTTTTTAACTCCGAAGCATTATAAGCAAGGCTGCTGCACAGCTGTGCAGAGAAACAAGTTTGTTCATTTGAATTCGAAGTTCAAATTTGAAGTTCAAATTTGAACTGAGCTTTAGTTGTGAAAAATCCGACGTGTCAAAAGCTTTTTCAAAAGTCGAGTCAAAAGCTTTTTCAAAATATAGATGATGTTAACTATTTTTTTGTTATTTACCTCAGTCGTCCATTCGTTTAAAGTTGCCAGCATTAATGAACATGCGCATCTGCGATTTATAAAACCGAATTGGTTCTGAACCTAAACTTCTTGCATGAACTCTAACCACTAAAGTTTAAGTTTGAACTTCAAATCCTAATAAAACCTAGATTGCCCGGGTTTTATTGGATGAAACTACAGTTATCCTCCCATTCTCCAGCCTTCTTTTTCTCATTTCTCATTGACATTTTTATTTACAAAAAATATTACTTTTAAATCTAAAAATCATCAATACATATAGGTTTAACGTGAAATTTTTTTTTCTACTACAGTTTTAAATTATGTTTGAAAATCTTTTTCAAAATAACTTGAAATATTCTTGTTATAAATTATTAAATAACATTATATAAAATATATTTTAAATAAATTTAAAGTAAAAAATTGTACTAATTTTTAATATCATTAAACAAAAAAATATTTCACTGATACGAAACAAAAATAAAACCCAAAAAAAAAAACCAAATTTACCTAATAAAACCCAGAATTACCAAAAAAACCCACTAACCCCCTCCCTCCCCCCGCATTGTTGCCAACCGTGGGATAAAAGCATTAAATTTTTACTCAATACTTAGAAAATTATGCTGATCATTTTGAGATATGGTGGCGAAGCGTGGCATAACCGGAACTGGCTGAAATCCAAAATGGTGGTTACTTCCATTTTGGATTTATCAAAATCTTAATAAACCTTATAAGGTAAACCTTATAAGGTAAGGTACTTTGACATGTGGATAAGAACAAACATTGCAATCCCTACATTAAAAAAGTTAATCTTAAGAAAAAATGTACCAAGATGTTAAATGTCAACAGATCTAAAAATCAAAACTCTCAAAAAGTTAAAATCCACACCTAAAAATGTTGCATATTACTGGCAAAAACAAAACTCAGAAACTTTCAAATTTCAAAAACTGAAAATGTAAAAAAATATCTCGTTGTTTAAGAAATTAAAATAAATACATTTACAGCGTAGACATACTACTGTCGATGTTACCCCATATATATTTTTTTATTTTTTTTATTTTTTTTTCAAGTTGATTAAGGTGCCCCAAGAAGTCCTTACGGTCTTATCACAGAGCACCGCGGAAGAGCATTTAATAGGAAGTTCACGCCTCCTTCCCAACCGATGTCGCAAAGCTTGCCCAGAGGTGGGGTTTGAACCACGGATCTTATGTTTCTGAGGCAAGTGCGCTACCACTGCGCCACGGCTGCTCATATAGGGGTATCATTGACAGTTGAACCGGATCAACAAAATTATCTATCAATAATATTATATATATATATATATATATATATATATATATATATATATATATATATATATATATATATATATATATATATATATATATATATATATAATATATATATATATATATATATATATATAATGATGTTAGTGGCTATTGTATTATGTTGTATTAGTTACTGGCTATTGTATTATGTTGTATCAGTTACTTAGTTATTAGTTAGTGGCAATTGTATTATATTGTATTATGAATGATGTTAGTAGCTATTGTATTAGTGACTGCCGTCATCTTGGATTATACAGTTTTTGCCTGTTAAAAATATTACAAAAGCACACATTTCATGCTTATATATAACTCAGAATATTATCATGTAATAGAGAATTTTTAAATAAATAAGTATTAACAGCCATCCCCCTTTTACAACTGGACTGCCGACTAGCTTTGGCAAAGTGATCTTTTTTTAACTATTTTTAACAATCTGAATAACACATTTTCAGCAGCTAACAAGATAAAACAACTTTTAATAAATATAATAATTTTTTTTAAATAAATTATTGCTGAATGAGTTAGTAGTTCCTAATTAAAAAAAGATTATAAATTTTTTTTGTAGTTTTCCTTTTTTAAGATGGGGGAATTTAGGGTTAAAAAACCACATGTTTTTGGTAAAATTATCAAATTGCTTATGATAAAAATCAATATTTTGCATCACTTTATATATTATCAACTTAATGATATATTAAATTAATTTAAAACCAAAAAAAAAGTCAAAAAAAAAGTTTTTACATAATAGTTTTTTCATGCTTATTTCAGTCCGCAAAAATTAATGGATTGAATCATGTTATTACAGAGGCAGCCAGTTTTTTATTTGATACAGTTTTTTATTTCACTCTATAAGTGAGTTTATGAACTAAGCACCCACAGCTCTATTTCATTATAACATCACACACACTCACACGCACACACTCACACACAAGTTATAACAAAAGTAAAATTTATTGAAAACAAAAACTTACTTTTTACTCAAGTAATGTGAACATTTTATTAGCAAATGCATGCAGTGAACTGACATAATTGCTATGATAACTATGCCAACTGAACCTACAATAGTACCGCCATCTTTAATTGCTGTAGGAAGACTTAAGATACCAGTGCCAACACTAGCTTTGAATAAATGCATAACTGCTGCTAAATTTCTAAAATTATTTGCACATAAAATAAGAAAATTCGATTAATTTAATTATCACAGAGTTTTATCATTAAATTTGAAGTCAAATATCTTTACAACATATACATTTTTATGAAACAGCAGAAAAAGTAGTTTGTTTTTCTATTTAAATTTGATATATTTAGGTTAAAACAATTAAATACAGTCTTTTTCTCTAACTAAACGTTTCCTTTCTTTAACTGAAGTGTTAGTAATTTTTAAATGTAATTAATTTTTTTTAGACAACAAAAATTACATAATATATAACATGAAACGTTGTTAGTTAGTGATTCCATTGCAACAACTATGCTGTGGTGTAAGTCTTGAGACATGTGTTAAGACTGTCTTGGTCTTGAAGCTTGTAGTCTTAACCTGAAAATCTTTACTGTCTTATTCTTTCTTGATCTTTACAAAAAATCAGTCATGGGTCCGATCGGTGGACGGTGGTGAGGTGGTGTGCATCTCTCCCCCTCCCCTCCCATAATTAATTTTTTTCAAAGTTAGAGGTCTTTATGTCAATTTAGGAAGGTTTTTTTTTTAACTTTAGTATCAACATCCTCCCTCCCTCCCCAAAAATTTCTAAAATTGTCCCAGCAAAAAAATCAATGGAATGGATGGATTAACAGTTTCAAGTAGATATGTACCTAGTAAGATGTGTACTATATTTCTTTATGCATAACATTCTTTGTCAGATTGTCAAAATAAAAATTGTGAAATGAAAAGGTTGTCTGTTTTACTTTGCATACAAAATTATTAAAATGGAATATGTAAATTTAACTTTAATTTTTATTTGTTGTTTTTTCTTTTTTTGTAACTATAGCGAGCGGGTACCGTAGAACGGGGTGACTTTGTTAGGATTTTGAGCATTTTCGCAAAATAAATCTGGTTCATTACAATTTTTTCTGATTTTTTTTTTCCCGTTATAACATTATACCTTTCCTTTATATAATTCCATTAAATATTTTTAATTTTTTTTTGTCTTAATATATATATTTTTAATCCAAAATGTTATCAATCTCACCCCGTCGTTTAGGGTGACTTTGATAGTCTATTATTTCTTAATGGCTTATTGATTTAACCCTCTTTACAGTGTCGCTAATACTTTCTTTTTGACTTTTACTAAATTAGAACACAACATATTAATAAACTTATAAGATTTACTGGTAAAATTATAAATTTAGACAACAAGTTTGGTTATCAGAATGGACAAAGAAAAAACAAAAATAAATTTGATATTAATATGCTAAACACAGAAAAATAATATATCAATAACATTGTTATAGTAATTAGCAGTTATAAAATAACACTAACAAAAAAATAATACTAATTGCATATAAATATTAAGTACTTATAATATCCTTTAGTTGTTAACTCAATTCAAAATTAAAAAGATATCCAAAAAAAAAAAAACATATATATGTGGTATATTCCAGTGTTATTATAACTGGAAAATACCACTTGAACATCTAAGTATAGATTTTTAGAAGAAAAAAAATTTCAAAAAAAATTAAAATCACAAGATTTTTTGGCATTTTTTGGTACGTGTAAAAATCGTTATTTTTTTGTTATAGTCATGTTATTCCTAACACATTTGCACAATTTAGAATCACTACACAATCATTAAAATTTCAAAAATATTAGCAGAATATAATTATGTACAAGAATAAAAAAAAAAAATAGTCTCTAATTGTGCAATTTCACATTCAAATCATTATTTTTGTAACTAACAGACGAAATTATCAAAGTCACCCCGCGTATCAAAGTCACCCCGTTCTACGGTACTGGCCTAGAATAACTGCTATATGTGTACTACTCTAGTTTCTTAGTGTGATGAGATTTAATACGTTGGTCTTGGTATTGGTCTTAAAGTCTCACAGAGTTTTCACAAACTTAAGAGTTTAGATTTTTCATAAAGTACTTGCGTTTGTCATAGTAATTGTTTTGTAAACAAAAAGTTCGTGCACCACCACCGGCGCGAGTAGGTGTCACGTGGGGGGTGCCATTACAACCTTTGCCGACTAAAACAAAAAAAAAAAGGTTCTTGTTTTCCAAAATTTGCCGACTGTCTAGATTACCGATTAACCTGTATCGAAAGGGTCGACATTTGCCGACTAACTAGTCTAAAGGGTCCTATTTGCCGACTAAGGGTCCAATTTGCCGACTAAAAATCATTGATGGGGGGGGGGATGTCACACATCATTGTGTGACATTGATGTGTGATTCACACACACACACACACACACACCTATCGCGCCGGCCTTGTATATATAATATATACAGTTTGGAAATAAAATTATGAAAATAAGATTGTGAATACAAAAATAAAGCTGTTAACCTATACTTTGCAACTTGATATATATTTATATATATATATATATATATATATATATATATATATATATATATATATATATATATATATATATATATATAATATATATATATATATATATATATATATATATATATGCATATATATGTATATATATATATATATATATATATATATATATATATATATATATATATATATATATATATATATATATATATATATATATATACAAGTAAAATATATTGCATGCCATAATATAACGTAGTTTAACAAGATTATCAAAGTAAAATGTAATTTAATGATAATGTTTCTTATCAAAAAAAATGACAGCTGTTTCTTTAACTATAAAAATGTTGATGTAAAGGAAGCTCGTGGAAGACTATGAAGTCTTATCATCGAGTACCTCTATAAATGCTTAATTAAATCTAATTAACAACTATATATATTCGTAGTTGGTTAAACAATATACACTCACATACACATAGATATTTTAGTAAAATTTTATTGTTAAGTTTAATACATGTAATTGTTGATATTAGGTATAAGGTATTGTAATTTTTTGCAGAATTTTAAAGTTTTAATTTCTATATTATTGGATATCATTTTATTATAAAGATACGGACCCCGGTAGAAAGTAGAAAGTCGTGAGAATTTCTTTGTTTTTTTAGGCAATGTGAAGTTGCCTGTGTCTCTTTTGATATATCTACTAGAATAAGAAATTTGAAAAAAGTGGTTTAAAAAATGCGATGAGACTAGGGAATAGATAAAACTAATATTTTGTCAGATATTGATTTGCTAAACATTTAGTGCATTCAAGGTTTTTCGTAAAAGTTCAGGATTTTTTAAATTAGATCCAAAATATATATATATATATATATATATATATATATATATATATATATATATATATATATATATATATATATATATATATATATATATATATATATATATATATATATATATATATATATATATATATATATATAATAAAATATATATATATATATATATATACATATATATATATATATGTATATATATATATATATAATTATATATATATATATATATATATATATATATATATATATATATATATATATATATATATAAATATATATATATATATATATATATTTATATATATATATATAAATATATATATATATATATATATATATATATATATATATATATATATATATATATATATATATATATATATATATATATATAATATATATATATGTATATATATATATATATATATATGGGTTACATGGACAACCTGCTTCATTTCCGGCTGCTTTGTAGGATACGCTTATTTAAACAAAGGCTATGAGAAGCCAATTCTGACTTTAAAAACCCCCTGTCTTAAGGCTCTTGGTTGAGTAAAGGTTAGAGATGGTTTCTTGATATATATATTCATCTTGGGCAGACATTAAATGCAACCGGCTACTGTCTTGTCGAAGGTCTCGTAGGCAAAGACTTAAGGGGAAAACAGATTCTTTCTGTGGACCAGCATTGTACCCCTTCATCATCTATTAGGTTGGCGTAGATTTACTAATAATACAATGTTTCTAGTTTAGGATGTTAAATGCTGGATCTTCTTGACTGAATTCATTGGCTTTGCTTGTGTCTCTGTGTTTATGAAGAGGCAACTCATTTTATTAAACAGCTCTAAAACTCAGTTTTTTGGTTTTGAAACTGGCTAGTAGTCAGGTTTCCTAAACTCTTTTGTAGCTCTTAGCGAGGTTGATTCTATCAACAACTGTAAAGTATAAGAGTACTAACAGTGCCATGTTGCTTTTGGATGGTGTCCCTGATCGTACTTTTGGTGTACATTGTCAAGGCGACATTTGGAGTCCTTTGTTACGACTTAGGGTTTAATAATAGTAATAAGTCAAATGTTTGAACTATTAAATAGTGTATTGAGTACAATCTGTGCTTTCAGTCAAGTTCTTTTACAAATCCAGAAATGACTAAAGTACTAAAATTACAAAAGACAAAAAACCATTGTAATCACCATGTTTTCTAAATCTATTATTCGTGGTCTTTAAAGTAACTTTTTTTTTGTTGAGCCTTACTTCTTGCAAAGATTACCACACCTACTTTCAACCTACTTGCTCTTGCAAGACTAATTTAAGCTCAGCAATCTCATCTTGTGATCTTAGTGTTAATGTTATCTTCTTTTAATTCGTAAAGACTCCAACAATCATATGCGTAGCCTAGACATTTACACTCGTAAGAATTCACTAATTTGTAGGGAAACTAGGTTGAATAGACAGACTATTCTTTTATGTGCTTTTGTTAATCACTGCTTAACTCAATCGTCTTCCTTCTTTTTCTATATTGCTCTCCTTCATTTTAAGACTGCACTCTTTTTGATGTTATTTCTGATCAAATTGACATAGCCCTTACACTTTATCCTCTATAGCTAGTATCATTGTTGTCGGTTACTTTAATGTTCATATTTGTGACTTTTTTGTCTTTCTCAAGACAAAAATTGTTTTTGAGAAAAACAACTTGTGTCTTTCTCAATCTCTAACACCAATAGTCAACCTTTATACTCGCTTTCCAGACTATCCGAATCATTTACCTTTTTTACTCGACTTGTGTCTTGTTTCTAATCATAACCAGTGCTTAATTTATCCACATTCAACCTAAAGTGCTTCTGATCACGGTTTGATTTTTCTAAAGCTCATTCTTCTCATCATCAGAATCCCCCTATCATTTTACCTTTTACAACTATCTTAAAGCTCACTGGTACTCTTTCCGTAATTTTTTTTGTGATGGCCCTTAGGTAGAAATTTTTCTTCTTCCTGCTGACAAATGTCCTTCTAACGTAACTTCTTCGATTCAGCCTGGTATGGAATCTTTTATTCCTTCTCGGCAATTCCAAGTCAAGCCTTACTTCTCTACATGGTTTTCCTCTCATTATGCTGCTACAATGTCCAATCATAACAATTACTTTCATATCTCTCAGCAAAGTAATTCTTCAGAAAATAGGCATCTGTTTACTATTGCTAAACACCATTGTTAAAAGGTTTGTCAAACACTATAGCCCGCTATTCTCAGGTCACGAAATCTCGTATATCATCTCAAAATTACGCCCTCATGATTTTTGGAGAATCTTTAAAAGTATCTATAATAAGGGAAAATCTGTTTTCCACCTCTTTTGTATGGCTCAGATTTTGTTACCACGCTTAAAGGCAAAGCTAAATAGTTAGCTAAGAACTTCAAAACAATATAATATTTGATTCCAACATATAGCCGACAAACAGGTTAATCCATTGCTTGAGTTTCGTATCACTCCAGCTCCTGTATCTAAAGTCATTTCTGCTTAGACTCATCTACAGCTTGCGGTCCGAAAAACATACCTGTTATATATATACTAAACTTTCAAAATATTCAACAAGTGGTTACCAGAATCTTTTTTTTCAGACTTCTAGTACTACTAGGGTTAGAAATTACAGGAAGAGAGACGATAATGTTTATAACGATAACCGACGACTGCAAATTATATGAATCAGGAAAATACGATAAAGAGAGCAATTTCCAAAGAACTGATGTTCAAAGAAAAAAATTAGACGAATAAGATTTTTTTGAGCAATTAGAAACAGTCACAGTACAAGAATGAGATTTAATTGCTTGCAGCCTTGTTGAAAGTAAAAATGTTGAATATAGCTTGCAAGCACTGGTTCATTATGGATAATTTAAATTCAGATAAAATGCATTCTTATACGGATCAAATAGTTCATAAACACTTTTTGAAAAAGTTACAGTAACTAATAACCATATGATAACGTTTATCTTTTTTTGGCCAAGTTTGATAATAAGATAATTTTCTAATTATGCTAAACTTTTTAAAAATAAGTTTTGCTTCAAGAAATATAAAATGTAGTTATTTTAAAATAATCTGCTCGTCATATTGTTTAATATTAAATTTCCTAAGTATTTATATTGTGTTGCATATCTTAGAGCCATGTTGGATTATGTAAAACAAGAGTTTGTAATCAAGGGTTCAAATCTTTTACGGAAAATTGTTTGTTGATGTTATTAATTCAAATTTCCCATTTAGTTTTATAATAAATAGTATAAACCGTATTGCAGGACTGTAGCAACAAAACATGGATTGGGTGGGCAATTAAGCTTTCTATATGCCCTACGATAAAGCCCTGTAGAGGTTATTTCTAATTAGGCATAATTAGAAAAATTTGGGTAAAATATTTTATATAAATATTCATGTTTTTTTGTGTGTTAATATTCAGTTTTAATATTTTTATCCATTTGCAAAAATCAAAGAAAACAGAATTATGAGAAGTGTGTAATCCATAAGTGTGTGGAGGTGTAAACATAAAATTTTAAGAAATGAAATTAAGTATTAAGTAGATACTAACTCCGTGAATTTATCGTATTATAGCGTGTTTTCATTAAACTTAAAGAATTACTCAGCAAACATTATTTTAAAAATCACCGGTTGCGATTTTCCCATTAAACAAAATCATTTTGTGCGAGTATTTGAAAAATAAAAACATACAGTGATTAGTGTATGGTTCGAATTTTAAAATTTACATAAAAAAAAAAGAAATCTTACGTTGCTCTTTCGGGTGTCTTTAAATCTTTAGTTTCTGAATTCAACAATGAACTGTATTCTGAAAAATATCTTATAAATTAAATGCATTTTATGTAAATATGCAGCAGAAAAAGTATATATAAAAAACAACAAAAAATGTTTAATTCATACAAATTTCACCTTCTTTTGTAACAACATCACTTGCTAACTGTGATTCGCATTCGTTTTCATTTTTGCTTTGACTCCATACATTTAAGTTAATTTCGTCAAGCAGCGGAGATGTTTCTTTATGCATTTTCTGTAAAATAATATATATGTATATATATATATATATATATATATATATATATATATATATATATATATATATATATATATATATATATATATATATGTATATATATATATATATATATATATATATATATATATATATATGTATATATATATATATATATATATATATGTATCTATATATATATATATATATATATATATATATATATATATATATATATATATATATATATATATATATATATATATATGAATTGTTTTTTTTATATAATGAGTTGTACAATTTTGTCTGGCCTTTAATGTTAATAGTTATATATATATATATATATATATATATATATATATATATATATATATATATATATATATATATATATATATATATATATATATATATATATATATATATATATATATTATTACTTTTTTGTAATGTTTTGATTAGACAACCGACGCTTTCTGATTCGCCTGCTCCCTTCAAAAAGGTTTTTGATAGGTCTGCACCCCTCAAAAGTCACTTTTGATTGGCTTGGTTTCTTAAGCTAATCAAAAATGGTTTAGAGGGATACCAGCCCAATCCAAAAAATCTTTGACGGGTGCAGGCCAATCACGCAAGTTCTTTCTGCGAATTTAAAAACTAAAAAAAATCTTTTTATTAATACATGTTGTTTCACCATAGTCATAATATACATAGTCCGGCAAGTTTAAGAGCGCTATTGTTTATGTTATTGTTAGTTTTTTTAAGGACCCAGTCTACCAATGAGTGCACGCTATTTGTAAACAAAGACGCGTTAAAAATAATATTAACAAAAAAAATATTTATTTAACCTTGTTATTTGCAAATGCTTGGTGCTAATTGTTCCATTTTTGGCTGTGGTACTTCTCGAAGAAATAAAGGTGTTTCACTTTTTAAAATACCATCCTCCAATGATGATTTCAATAAAAAATGGAGAATAAAAGTTTTGAATATTATATCTAAGGATAGAGTAGTCAATGAGGCGGACCTGTAAACGGCGCACCCCAAACTCGGTGAAGTTCGTAAGTTCTCGGTACGATAATTCTCGGTGTTCGCATTTTAGTATTTTACAGAATGGGCGCTAAAATATTACGTTTTTGCGCTCCATAATAGTAACGTTGAAATTAATAAAATAAAAAGTTTGCGTAAATGCATTTTAATAAAAATTTAATATTTTTAAAAAAATTTTAAATTTTACTAATTATCAACATATCTAATATTAGATTAAACAGATCTTCTAAAGGTATCTTCTTTTTTTTACATATCTTTTTGTGGCTTATCTTCTTTTAATCGATCTTCTACAGGTATCTTCTTATAGCTTATCTTCTTTACATATCTTTTTGTGGCTTAACTTCTTATAGTTTTTGCAAGTAAATTTTGTGTTGTACATAAAAAAAATAAGTTCAATATAAATATTATGAAACATTTTCAAAGTAAAAATTATATTATAATACTTATAAGGCATTTTTTTCGTAATGGCAGCTATGAGATCTACCCAAAATATCTTTTTAAACACAAAAATTCCCTTGCATTTTGCTTAAACATCAAGTTTTAGAACCCTAAAAGACTACAAAATCTAGTCTGATAAACATTGGATTCAACATTTATGCTTTGAATACTTAAATGTTACTGTAATTAGAACCAAAAAAGATTTTTAGGATAATCTGTTCTGTGTGAATAATAATAATAAAAATGTTAGGTAAATCATACTTGACAGCGCTCATAATTTTGCGCAACCATTCTTTGACCGCATAGACAAAGATTTTAAAGTGAGATTAGTCTTTTTTGTTCCAAAAAATCAACCAATTTTTCTTGTTTGATACTTTCAATGAACTCAGCTAAAGGTGTCATCTTACTTATTTTGAAGGTGGTAAAAATGGGCTAAGGAGGCGTGAATTGAAAACTTTAATGTTAAATTTTAATTCGTTAGTATTAGCCGACAAAGTTATCGTTTCGAACTTTACCAAGTTTTTTTACGAACTTCAACGAGTTTGGGGTGCGCCGTGTACAGGTTCGCCGTCAATGAAAGCTTTTGGTCCCAAATAAAATAAAAAATTATTGTTTATTTGTGAAAAGTATTACGAAGCTAATATGTTAGTTGTTAATCTAAATAAAACAACTTGAAAACCAGGTTCAGTACCAACGTTAAATCCAGTTAAAACAATTCCATATTCTTCTTCGTTTATATTTAATCCTAAAGCACGAACATCAGCTTCTTCTATATGCCTAAAGAAATCAATTACACCTTCTCTTTCAGATGAAGCTGTTCATAATAAATCATATAAATCTTTTAAGGAGTTAGTCAAACGTGTTAGTTTACAAAAACTTGATTGGAATGTAAATATTAGTGACACTTTTTTAAAATTGAGTAAGATGGACAATATTCTATTGTTTAGGTCTCAAAGTCGCCTGCTGTTTATAAGGAAATTCGTTTCAATGAAAAAACTAATTCTGGTTTTGTCGTTTTACCAAGTCAAAGGGGTTTAAGAGACTACAAAAACTATATCCGACCACAAAGAGGTTTTATGACTTTATGAATTTATTAACTATGAAATTGTGAATGAACTAAGTTTAAAGGTGAAGGATTTTTTTGATCAAGAACGGTTTGTTACACTTTTATTAGATGAAATAAAAATTCAAGAAATTTTGGTATGGGATAAATATTCTGGTGGTCTTATAGGATTTGTTGACCTTGGTGATACTAATATTAACTACGCAACTCTGAATAAGGCAATGAAATTGCAACACATGTTCTTGTTTTTCTTGTAAGAGGTATTGTCAACCCTTTTAATTATAGTTTTGCAAACTTTGCTACAACAAATATTCAAGCTATTCAGTTATTCCTCATATTTTGGAAAGCTGTCAGTATTTTAGAGCTTTCATGCAATCTAAAAGTAATTGCTACTACAAGTGATGGAGCCTCATGTAATCGTAAATTTTTTTCTATGCATTTTCATATGACATAAATACAAGATAATAATAAAAATATTAAATTTACTTATCGCATCAAAAATAAATTAGCTGATGATGATCGATATATATATTTCATAGCTGATCCTCCACATTTGATAAAAACTGCTCGAAATCGCCTTTTTCATTCTGCTTTAGGTAAAGGGAGGTATATGTGGAATACTGATAATCACATTTTGTGGAATTACGTATCAGATTTATTTTATGAAGATATAAACTGTGGTCTTTACACTTGCCTGAATCTTTCCTTAGAACATATAAGGTTAAACCTATTTTCCAAAATGAATGTAAGATTAGCAGCTCAAGTACTCAGTTCATCAGTTAGCATTGCTTTGAAGACATTTGGTTCAACTGAAGCCTTTAGAACTGCTGAGTTTTTTCAAATGTTCAATAATTTTTTTGATTGAGTCAATGTGAAAAATATTGTAGATTGCACTAGAAAGCAAAATCCATTTTCTGAACCATTTTGTTTGTCCAATATGTTTTAACTAAACAGCTTTGTCAAGATTCGTTAGAAAACTATTTTGGCCAACAGCGAGCTATTGGAAGAAAAAAAGATAACCCATCTTTACATGATATTGGCTATAATGACTATACAATAAGAAACCAATGTACCTTTAAACCAATAGTAGGAACAAATAGTCTTAATAATGATCCTGAACCAAAGACTTTTATCTAAGAAAAATTACCACGCTGAAATTGAAACCAAAAATAAAGTTGTCAAAAAAAAAGGAAATTAAAAACGGCTATTTTCATATCCACAAACATTATAAAGGCTTTATTTGGTATAAAATATTTTATTTTAATTGTTGTTGTTTTTAACAGGGTGTAAATAGGGAGGGATCTCTCATAAAAATGTGTGTGTATATATATATATATATATATATATATATATATATATATATATATATATATATATATATATATATATATATATATATATATATATATATATATATATATATATATATATATATATATATATATATATGTATATATACTTATTCTAAATTATTTAAATAAAACATAAGTAGTAATAATTACATTATTTGATATTATTACTTAAAAAAGTAGTATAATTTTGTTTGGTTTTCACTTAATTACTTATTGCATCTTTTCATTGTGCTGCAATATAGTTCATATGCTAGATATGTTTTTAACAAAATTTGTGGCTATAAAAATAACCTTTTTTAAATGTCTAATCTTTATTCAGTAGAGGTTAAAGATACTTTTTTGATTTCTTTTCTTAACGAATTTGTTCTTTTCTTCATAGTCTTGATTTTATGCAAGTTTTCAAGCTCTTCGGAATAGGAAAACGAGCAAACACGAAAATAAAGTGTTAAAAGGTGGTCTAAAAGATTGAGAGACGTTTTTGTAGATACCTTAGTAGAACTAACATAACAAATTTTTGAAAAGTAAGATAAAACCTCAACATCTTGAAGCAATTCTATTGTCATCTTGCAGTCAATATTTTGACTCAAAATTTTTGTAGAATTTCTGAATGCTACTTCTGCTATTCTAAATAGTGAAAAAGCATCAAATGATATAGACCAAAGACCACCTCTATTTTTAAAACTAATAATTTTTTTATTAGTTTCATGATATTCTTGAAATTCATTTTCTACAATTTTTCCAGTCAGCAAAATTAAAAGTGTTTCTTGACCAAATCTACTTTGCCAAACTATTGAATAACGTATCTGACTCTAACTCTAATATGAGATGATCACTGGACTGTTCGTCTGCTGATTTAGCCATTTTTTAGATTTTTGTGCTCTTATTAGTAGCCTGGGCACGATAAATAAACAGTTTTCAACATAAATTCAAAATTTTAACTTTGATTGTTTGAAAACAATAGAATTTTGCGAAAACGGCCCAACTGGCCGGACTATCTGTTATTATGACTATGGTTTCACGAATTTAAGTGTTGTAAACAATTATCTAATATGGCGGATTCTATGCTTTAAATCGTTTTTAAATGTTTTTTAGATGAAAATATGGTTCAAGCTCAAAAAGAA